TAATTAAATTTAACAATAAACCGATGTAATTGGTTAACGATAAATTGAGAAAAGGATTTAAAAACATCTCTGTAATTAATTAGAACTTTTTAAGTCTGTTGATCTTGTGTTGGATAGATTCAATCGAGAGCTTTGTCTTGGGAGAGAGAGAATTGCAATACGTATACAACAAAAGTTTTTTATTAGACATTTGGTCTTATATAGACTCGTCCCAGAGTCTAAGAAAGAGAGAGAAGAAAACAATGGTAGAAAGTAAATTACAATATACACATTCTATCATCCCGACCTGCTTACAAGGGATCTTACTTAGAACTGGAGTTAACCAGCTCCTACAGACGAGAGAAATTGCTAGCAAAACCTTATTTTAGAATATTTTACCACGATTTTTCCACAATGTCACATCGTTTCTCGAGCTCAGAATGAATCCAAAGCAAAAAAATGAAGAGATATATCATCCCTACAACGTTTACACAACGTCCTAGCTGTATCCCGGGATTGTGACCAGGATTTGGCAAAGTAGAGAGCACGAAGTAAATCAACTCTATAAACATAGAATTGACAATGTTGACTAATGCCTTAATACAGGATCAAAGAAACTAAACTGAGAATCTACGAGAGAGCCTAACATAAAATTCAGATATATGAAATAATTTAGCGATGAAGATGTCTAACTTGACAGTTAATTTCTGTGTTTTGAGCATATTGATCTTAATTAAAAAGCTAAGAAGAGATATAAATAATAATAAAATAAAATTTTCTCTCTGTATCGATATCTTTTACATTTACTTGTGAAAGCGAGTTGTGTAGCGATATTCCATTTGAGAAATATTTACCTAAGTTGTCGGCCAGTCACTATTCTTCCAAACAAACATGTTGATATGTCCCCACAATACAATGTATTATCTCCGCCACTCTTGTATATCTCCGTCACTCCTCTCTTCTCCTTCTTGTGAGTTAGAGTATGGAGGATGGGTTCTGAGATTTATCATTTATATTTTGTGGTAATCCACTTGGTTCTGTAGTGCATTCTCTGACCTTACTTACTCTCAACTTGAAGTAACGGACAAGTTCAGTAAGAGAGAGAAAGAGTTTAGACTCGTGTTCATTATGTACGTACCATGTTTTTAATTGAATACCAAATATTTTATTCCCGCTGTAATTTCAATATAAGTGGCGTATCTATATGAAATTCTAGTTATTTATCAACATTTCAGCGAGCAACGAGCTTACCTTTACCAATACAGAAAGATGAGCATGCTGGTCGTCGATATATTGGGGGAAAAACAGGATAATTTCATACAGATCCAAGATGCGTCTTTTTATTGAAAGTATTCTCTCTATGGATTGCGATAGTTTTAGAAAGATATTTCCAGTGTGTACAGGTTAGGGAACTGGTCCATAGCACTATAGAGTTCTGATATTTCACTCACCACAAATATAGAATTGAGAAGTATCCATAGATACATCCTTTTGCTTGAGTAATAAGACACTATTTAATTCAGGCGGATACCAACTCAGGAGATACATTAGAGGAGCGAAAAGCACGGCGTCAGAACCAGTACCTACAGGTAAGGAAGCTATCAGGCTATTGATGAAGACCTTCCTGATGGTCGGGTTGAGGTAGAGAGCGCGATGTTAATTGAAGCTTCAAATTGACGCCGAAACCAGAAAACAACAATTTTAGGAAGATGGTATTACTAGAGATTTTCAGAAGAGTCTGAGGGACTTCAAAGCCCTAAATTAGTACTGTAACAATGGTTCGCTTCTTCCACGGAAGATGGCGCCAGCTGATTGGGATCAGCGCATGCGGTGCCGTCCCGTCACGTGAGAGCTGCGCCTATATAGGTTCTTTTTTCGCCTTTCAACAGCCAGCTAGCTGGGATATGTAAACTAGTTAATTTTGTTACATTGAATTTTTCTATTTTAACTCAAAGAGTTTATTTTAGTCGATTTAATTTTTATATTCAAATAAGGAAAGAAATAGGTAAAAATCCTTTTACTTTTAGTTTCATGTAAATATTTTAAATTAAATTGGATACAGTACAGTTTATTTTCTCTCGTCCGTCCAAGACAGGTTAGTCCCTCTTACCCCATAGGCTCTGAAGTGGCGTTTGGTCCATGATTATCAAGATGTATTTTGTGGATTATTTTGGTTTCTCTAGATGAAGATGGAATTTGTGTTCATGGAAGTTTTTGGTAGAATTTCCAACTTTCTGCGTCTACACTTGAAAGAGAACTTACCTTGAATATATTCATATAGATTTTTCTCTCTCTCTCATTTTAGGTTCCAATTATATAACAGTATTAGAACAAAATTGATATGAGCAGATACCAGCAGAGAACTGCTCTGGTGTTGTTTCTTATAGGATTAAGAGAGGAGCACAAATGTACATTGGAGAATGCAATCAAATTTTGCCATTGTGTCAAAATACATCGAAGGATGGTGTGGTGCACTAACCCAGTCTGGAGGCTGTACGTCTGCAGCAAACGTTACACCCGCAACACCATAACGATTTCCCAGCCAGTGAGAACTGATGCATGCTCGTGCATCGAGTGACCATTTGATAGGTCTCTCGCGCTTGCCTTTACGGTGTGAAGTTGACCAGACAACCTTCAAGTAGTTTTTCGGCGGCCTGGTTGTTGTCTTGGCCCTTATGATTGGAATACACCCTACATATGTCAACGGATTAAGGTCCTTCTCTGAGGCACGAGGCTGACGTAAGGAGCCTCGTAAAGGCGAGGGGTGGTACTGCTGTGTACGCCCCATGGTTTTTCAAGGGCGTTCCCGATGACACATACATGGAGTTTTGACCCAAGAGTTTCAGAGCCAGTGGCGGACCTTCCGTTCGTGGTCCTTACGGCACGTAGATCCCCCCGCTGATACGACCTTTCCGCTCCCTCATCCCCAAGGGTTTTATGGGCTCCCCTACCCTTCCCAGCCGCCTCAGGACTGGCCAGTACTGGGGGCATGCTTCTTTCCCTTCTGTATGAAAGACAGACCTAGTTTCTCAGCAGAACACTAAAGAAGAAAAAAAATGAAACGACTGAATCTTTCTTTCTTAATTTGCACACAACACATAGCGCCATCTACAGTGAAAAAATGTAAATTTATCATTATTAGCTAATTATTACATCAAAAGAGTTAATTATTGCATAAATAGTAAACTCTAAAACCATTTTCTTTCAAATTAATCAGAAACAATAGTTGTGGCAGTCTACTAAATCAATCTGGTGAATCCCCGTTTAAAGCAGCATTTCTCAACCTTTGGAAAATTTCCCGAAAATTTTCAAAGACTGTACGTTAGTTTTTAACTAAAATCTTTTACTAGGTATATTAAAGAACAATTATATAATTCAACATTTTTATTGAAAAATATATATCCTAAAATTAAGATATGGTACACACGTAAATCTCCGATTCAAAATTTAGCACGGACCCTTCCACCAGCGGTTTAGAATCAATGGCTCAGAGTGTTCTCCACTGATGAGCCAGTCACCCTCCTAGTTGTTTCCATCTTCCATTTAGTGGGTGTGTGAATTTGGGATCTTTTAAATATCGACAAAGTATCTAGCGCTGGTAATGTGATTCGTATCTTTCTTAAGAAACTGTTACAAAGGTAAATGTGTAAATTGGAAGCTGCAGCCACTATATGGGATCGGTATAAATAATTAGACACCACACTTGATAAATTACATTTATTGTACAACAATCAAAATAAATTTTATTAAATAAAGGACGTGTTAAAGATTAGAAAACAGGGCTGTAGAAAAATAACTTATGTACAAGAGCCACCAATATATCTGTAAAATAAGATTTCTACAGACCAAGTTTCATATAAACTTGTGTCCTTATTGAGGTAAATTCTAGAAAAGTGGATCTTTACAGCTCTAAGGCGGTGTTTTTGTAGGAATTCTAGATTTTCCTCTAGACCAGAGCGTGTTTGTTGAAGAGCGCAATAGCCCGTTCTGTATAGAAACGACAGCCTATTCTAGATCAGTATGTTCAACAGCTTCTTCGCAGGAAACTCGAGTCTATTGAAGGCTAGATAGACAGAGTTTGATATTCTATGCCAGAGTAGCGTATTTGTTAGGAGTCCATTTTATACTAGATCAAAAAATATTGTAATAATTCTCCCATGTTATTCTATAACAAAAAGAAAGTATATAAAGAAGTCTGTATATGAATTCAAAGTTATGCTATATCAAATAATAGAGAATCATATTTGTATGAATCCCAGTCTATTCAAAGTCATCAAATGTAAGAATTCCATGTTATTCTATAACAAAAAGAAAGTATATAAAGAAGCCTATATTTATATGAATTCAAGGTTATGCTATATCAAATAATAGAGAATCATAATTGTATGAATCTCAGTCTATTCAAAGTCATCAAATGTAAGAATTCCATGTTATTCTATAACAAAAAGAAAGTATATATAGAAGTCTGTATATGAATTCAAGGTTATGCTAGATCAAATTATAGAGAATCATAATTGTATGAATCCCAGTCTATTCAAAGTCATCAAATGTAAGAATTCCATGTTATTCTATAACAAAAAGAAAGTATATAAATAACTTTGTAAAGGAATTCAAGGTTATGCTATATCAAATTATAGAGAATCATATTTGTATGAATCCCAGTATATTCCAAGCCATCAAATGTAAGAATTATATGTTATTCTATACCTGAACTCGCACATTTATAGACATTTCAGATTATATTCTCAGCTTACATAATCTCTTTGTAAGAAAGTTGAGCATATTCTAGACTAGCGTACAAAGAGTTTTAGAAGGTTCAGTTATTCTAGACCCGCGCGTTAATGCAATTGTTGGAAGTCTATTTTAGTCCGGCTTATAATATAATTGTTGGAATTCAAAGGTATTTTAGTCCGGCTTATAATGTAATTGTTTGAATTTTAGGGTATTTTAGGCCCACGTATAATTTAATTGTTGGAAGTGTCTAGGGTATTTTAGGCCCGCGTATAATGTAATTGTTGGAAGTCAAGGGTATTTTAGTCCGGCTTATAATGGACATGGCATCTGCCCGGTAAGCGGAACGTTGTGGGTTCGATTCCCGCCCCTGGACACTTTTATTTTTCCGTTCGCCATTACTCTTCATATTTTCACCCTTTCATACTTCATCCAAAAAAGTTAGAAATAGTAAATATTTCTCTTTGAAATAAATATTGATTTTTCACAGAAAAGAAACTTATGCGGTGAAACTTTAAGTGTTGTTTTATAATCATACGCCGCAGTCCTTTATAATGTATTATAAGTTACTTTAAGTATTATTTACGAACGGAAAAATACGTCCAGGGTAGCCTAGTGGACATGGCATCTGCCCGGTAAGCGGAACGTTGTGGGTTCGATTCCCGCCCCTGGACACTTTTATTTTTCCGTTCGCCATTAGTGTTGTTTAAGTGTTTAAGTGTTGTTTTATAATATAATTGTTGGAAGTCAAGGGTATTTTAGTCCCGCGTATAATTTAATTGTTGGAAGTGTCTAGGGTATTTTAGGCCCACGTATAATTTAATTGTTGGAAGTGTCTAGGGTATTTTAGGCCCGCGTATAATGTAATTGTTGGAAGTCAAGGGTATTTTAGTCCCGCGTATAATTTAATTGTTGGAAGTGTCTAGGGTATTTTAGGCCCACGTATAATTTAATTGTTGGAAGTGTCTAGGGTATTTTAGGCCCGCGTATAATGTAATTGTTGGAAGTCAAGGGTATTTTAGTCCGGCTTATAATATAATTGTTGGAAGTCAAGGGTATTTTAGGCCCGCTTATAATGTAATTGTTGGAATTTTAGGGTATTTTAGGCCCGCATATAAAGCAATTGTTGGATGTCTAGTCTTTTTACATCCGTGTATAATCTAATTGTTGGAAGTCAAGGGTATTTAGGCCAGGGTATAATGAAATTGTTGGAAGTCAAGGGTATTTAGGCCAGGGTATAATGTAATTGTTGGAAGTCAAGGGTATTTTAGACCCGCGTATAATGTAATTGTTGGAAGTCTAGTCTTTTTACATCCGTGTATAATTTAATTGTTGGAAGTCAAGGGTATTTAGGCCCGGGTATAATGTAATTGTTGGAAGTCAAGGGTATTTTAGACCCGCGTATAATGTAATTGTTGGAAGTCTAGTCTTTTTACATCCGTGTATAATCTAATTGTTGGAAGTCAAGGGTATTTAGGCCCGGGTATAATGTAATTGTTGGAAGTCAAGGGTATTTTAGACCCGCGTATAGTGTAATTGTTGAAAGTCTAGTCTTTTTACATCCGTGTATAATCTAATTGTTGGAAGTCAATGGTATTTAGGCCCGGGTATAATCTAATTATTGGAAGTCAAGGGTATTTTAGGCCCGCGTATAATTTAATTTTTGGAAGTCAAGGGTATTTTAGTCCCGCGTATAATATAATTGTTGGAAGTCTAGGGCGTTTCTACGTCCGCGTATAATGTAATTGTTGAAGTTCCAGGTTATCCTTGAACCTGTATAAGACAAATTGGAAAGAATTAAAAATTATTTCAGACTGAAATTAACCCTCAATAAATCATCGATTTCTATTAAAAGGAAAAAAACATTCCACCAAAACTATTAAAAACCGAAGTTTTAAAACTTTATTTTCATTCTATTTTAAATAAAGTTAAATAAAAATTCAAATACTGTTATATTTAATTGATATTAACTAATAAATTTGGAATGATTTATCTCATTGTCTATGTTGTGTTTTTGAAATAACATCAGAGATTTATATTTATTTTATTATTATTTTCTGTCTCACAGTGATTGGAGGAAGATTTCTCACTAGCTTCGTTGAAGCTTTTTGTTTGAAATAAAAAGAAACTTATTGCAGTGGAAAAAAATGACATTTTCAACTTTCAAGTGTTTTTATTATATTTCTTGTTTCGATATATATTGTATATAGAAAGAAGAGAGAGAGAGAGTCTGATGCAATAGAATTCCGAATATTTTGTATTTTAAAATGGATCAACACAAATAAACTATATTTGCATATCTTAATTGTAATCATAGTTGTATTTTGTTTCTCCGTCTATAAGAAAAAAATGTAAATATGCTAAAATATTGCTTACCATAGTATAAATAGGCTTGTATCTCTTTGAATCTCTTAGCTTTTTTGCCAGTAGAAGGGCGTGTGGCCCGAAAGCTCGCTCGCGTTTATTAAAAAGAAACTCATCCTTCTTCGTTCTTCACTTTATTTGATTACACTGGTCAACAAGATTTTTGCACAAGAGAACCTGATTATGTTTCTAGTGTTACTTTTCATGCTGAACTCAAAAATCTAATCAGAAATTTCCCATCACCTATGGTTTTTGCGTGACGGTCTTTTTTTAGTATTGGGATAAATACACTAAAAATTGCAAACAATGTCATGTAACTGGTTTATCAAAAAATATTTTTCTTTGTCCACAAAGAAATAGCATCTTATCTACATGTCCTGAATCCAAATATACCATTAGTTTTTTTCAATTACACAATATTTCTGAGATACACCTACTTGATTTTGGAAATATTGTTAATATATAGGCATATATGAACGAAACATATTTATTATTGAAAAGCAGTGACAGTGGATTTTCTTCTATACTTTCCTTGTGGTAGATCCCTCTTGAGTGCCCAGCAGTCGTCGGCAAGCATAGCGGGACTCCATTTACCTTGGTACCGCTTCTCCATGCTTGATATAGCTTGATGAAACCTCTCACCATGCTCATCGCTAACTGCGCCAAGATTGTCTGGAAAGAAATCTAGATGTGAATGCAGGAAATGGATCTTGAGGGACATGTTACATCCCAGTGCCTTGTAGGAAAGCAACAGATCATTAACTATGTCTCGGTAATTTTCAACCTTGACACTTCCTAAGAAGTTTTTGCAAACGTTTCTAAAGGAATTTCTTGCTGCTGCTTCAACTTCATTCAAACTATTTTGAAAATTTCCATCCTGCTGCAATTCTCGAATCTGAGGTCCAACAAAAATGCCTTCTTTAATCTTCGCTTCACTTATACTAGAAAATTTTTGTTTTAGGTAGGCAAATCCACTGGCATTTCGATCCATTGCCTTGACAAAGTTCTTCATTAATCCCAGTTTAATATATAATGGTGTTAAGTAAATATTTTCTGAATCGATCAGGGGTAGATTTGCAATATTTTTATATCCTGGAGTAAAGATTTTACGGTTTGGCCAGATTTTTTTAATGTAATGCCTTTCCCTATCTCTGCTATCCCACTCACACAGAAAACAACAAAAATTTGTATATCCAAGCTGTAATCCACGCAAGAGAGCAACGACTTTCAAATCGCTGCATATTTCCCAACCGTATTGTTCCAGCCTTACATATGCAAAATTGTTGAAATTTACTTTTGTAATTATTGTTAAATTATGTAAATTTTAGACATGTATATAATCTTGATTTTTAGAAAATAAAAGCAGTTATTAAGGCATACGTAGTTGAATCATTAGTGTTGGTGAGACGAGACATTAGCAATCATGCAAGTTTAAATGAGTTATAGTTAGCTCGCTGAGTTAAGAAGCTTACAATTAAAACCAGCGTTAAAATAAGAATTAGGCGGTGATTCCTCCTTAGTGCCAGGAGGCCAAAGCTAATTCAATTCATGGTCCCTCGAGAGCCTGATTAGGATTTGAAACAGAAGAAATTTAGGCGGAAACTCAGTGAGAATACAAGTGCAAAATGTCTCGAGACGAAAGGATCCTCCAAAGAAAGTTAAGTTGCCAAATAAGGAGAATTGATGGATTTATTGAAAGTGTGGATTCAATTATTGAAGCAGGTGAAACAATACGCTTAGAAATAATGGGTGAAGAATTAAAGGAGATCAAAGAGAAAATTGAGACACTCCACGACGAGCTGTTTTCTTTGGATGAAGTTGATATAGATAAAGAAAGTGAGGCATATGATGGTTCAATGAACAAGATTGGAAGCTTGAGGGTAAAAATAGAAAATGAGAGAAAACACAAAGACAAACTGGCGGACATAAAGCCAAATGGCTCTCAGGCAAATATAAAATTGCCTCAATTTGACTTACCGATATATGATGGAGATATGGGCAAGTGGATCAACTTCAAAGAGCTATTCCTCACCACCATCGATGCACATCCAGGGTTAACTAATATACAGAAGTTACAATATTTGAATTCAGCAGTAAAAGGCGAAGCGGCCAGATTAATAAGGGGTTTCCCTTTACTAAGTGAAAATTATGGCCAAGCATGGAGTACACTGTTATCAAGATATGATAACCCGAGAGAGCTAGCTTATGCCCAGGTGTCAAAAATCTTTTCTCTCCGGGCAATTAAGAATCCATCGGCTAAGTGTCTCCATGAATTCATGGATGTTTGTAATGAAGCCATAAGAAACTTAGAAACGCTGGAATTGAAGAGAAATCAATTAGTGGATGTGATCCTGGTGCACTTCCTCCAGCAGAAGTTGAGTGAAAATCTAAGGTTGGATTGGGAACTGTCAGTGGACAACACTCTTCCTTCTTATGACAAGTTCATAGCGTTCATTTCCAGACATGCGAGAAGCATGTCTTGTGCTGTCAAGGAATGTTCAAAAAGGGAAGAAACCACCGGATCGAGATTTCCCAAATGCCAAAGCTACGGGATGCTAATTGAGAAATCGGACACTTGCATATTATGCAAATCTAAGCATCATCCACTATACATGTGCAGCTTATTTTGCAAAATGCCTTTAAAAGAAAAATTAAATGTAGTAAAAGGTCATAAATTGTGCTTCAATTGCTTGAGGAAAGGCCATTTCTCATGGAATTGTAGGCTGAACCAACGATGCAAAGTATGCAAGGGAAAGCACCACACGATGATTCATTATGATAAACCGAGCACGGAAGGCGCTTCGGCCCAAGTTGAGAACACAACTCCGAAGGAACATGAAAGTGCTATCAATTTAACGAATACTCAACAGGCAAACTGCAATGATAGCCACGTACTACTCGCAACGGCTAGAATCAAGATAAAAAATGGACTCGGAAAGTTATGCACCTGCAGAGCCCTACTGGACAGCGGTTCCCAAGTCACCATGATAACAAAGGGATGCTGCGAAAGATT